GAAGCCATGACCAGATACTCTTGCTGACAGATGATAACTTGCCAACCCCCAGACCTGTTGCCTATGGACAGCAAACAGATCCACTGCTTCTAGCCAGGTACAAAGAAGCAAATGATCTTCAGCTGTGCTTGAAGTACTTAGGGTAACAAAAAGAAGTGAGGGGTACTGTGCCAGAGCTGTTCAAAATCATTGAGACCAGTCTAGTTATTGGAGATCTTAGAATCACGTTCATTGATGACACACAGAAAGAAAGTGGAGCCACCCAACTCCTTATCTACCCAGAGACAGTTCTTCAGCTGGAAATAATTGTAGCAACCACCTGAAGATGTTATTTGAATCCAAGGCTGGAAATAACTTGTCAGACTGCTTACATCAGGGAGGATTTTTTCCCCTTCCTCATGACATGTATCCAACACAAGTCCACAGCTCCTTGCCCCTTAGACTTAAGGGAGCTTGAGAAAGGTAGAGAGTATAAAAAGGCTCTGAAGGAAAGGAGAAAGTGAGCTCAGAGAATTGAGTGGCAAATTTGATATTAGGTGCCTGACAGTGTAAATCAGATTAACACCAGGTAACTTGTAAATGTCAAAATGATTTCTGTAGTCTGACGATATCAAATCCTATTGACACAAGGTGTCACCAAGATGTATGACATCTCAGCACTATAGAGGTAGGGCAGTGACCTGTGAAATGGATAATAATAAGTTAATATAGATTTGAAACAGTTAAACATGCTGATTAAGCACCATGATTAACAACAGATTTAAAATAGTAAATGATTCATTTGGGTTGGCTAGAAAACAGGCAGAGACATAAACAGTCCTGTACCTAGAAGATCAAGGTAAGATTTGAGAAACTTGGCCTGAGTATGTCAGGTAAAAATCTCAGGTTTTTAACAGGCTCCTGCTAAACTGACCATACCAGTGTGATAAAGCCCTCTGCGCGCGCGCACACACACACACACACACACACACACACACGCACACATATGCCCATTATATATTTAATTCCATGCCCATGGAATTATACACTGTTCTAGGCACCGTGTTTTTAGATGATCCATAAGTGAGAACATGAGAAAAAAGAGATTAGGCTAGTGGGTCCTGACACGCAGTGTTATGGTTTGAATATGAAATTCCCACATAGGCCATTATAGTATAGATCCTAAATACCCAGCTGGTGGTGCTATTTTGTAGAGGTTCTAGAAATTGTAGGAAGTACGACCTAACTGGAGGGAGTAGATTACTGGTGGGAGGGGTGGTCCTTGAGTGGTATCTTGTCCCCAGCCCCTTCTGGTCTCACTCTGCTTTCTGTGTGCCATGAAGTGAACAGCAATCTGCTACACAACACCAGCATGACGTTCTGGCCAAGCACATGGGGGCCAAGTGACCATGAACTGAATCCATCTGAAGCTATGAGCCAAAAAAGTCTTACTTTAAGCTGTTTTTGTCAGGTATTTTAGTCACAGCATCAAAAAGACAACTAATACAGGAAATTAGGACTAGAGAAATAGTGTCATTACTAGGACTAAACCCTGTGTTTGGAACTGGTTTATGGGAAGAATTTGGAAGTTTGGTGATGTGGTGTGGAGAAAGTCTAGAATGTTGTAAATAGCGCTTAATGGGCAATTCCAGAGGGTGCTTGGAAGACCAGAGTGCCAACAGGAATGCAGAGAGTAAAGGCCAGGCTCATGAGGTTACAAGTAGAATTAGCACACTCTTGGAACTTGGGCTAGAGGTCCTTGCATTTTGGAAAAATTTGTCTAATTTTGTTTAAGTCTTGAGTCTTTGAAGCTAAATTTGAAAGTAATACACGGTGGGGAGGGCTGGAGAGATGGCTCAGTGGCTGAGAACACTGGCTGTTCTTGCAGAAGACCCAGGTTCGAATCCCAGCACCCACATGGCAGCTAACAACTGCCCATAACTCCAGTTCCAGGGGATCCAACAGCCTTTTCTGACCTCCGCAGGCATTGCATGACACGGGTGCACTTACATGCAGGCAATACATGCATACACATAAAATAAAAATAATAAATAAAAAAAGTAGTAAACTGATTAATTTGGTGGAGGAAATTTCAAGACAGCACAGCATTCAAGCTAAGATGTGGTTGTTGCTGGCTAATTTTACCCAGATTTACAGTGATCATTGGGAGCAAAAAGAAGAACAGAAAGATTTAGAAAATGTTGTCTGGCCCACAAAGAAGTGTGTTGAAAGTTGTAGAGATGAAGGTTAGTTATTGAAGAGATTGGCAGCATTTTCAGAGGAGCCAGTCACTTTGCTCTGGTTTAGTAGGAAAGATCCTTAAAGAGCATTTTAGGAACTGACCAGACTCTACCCACAGCTGTCTAGGATATAAAATGGTGAACTCATTTGAAAGACTTTTCCTTGAGGAAAGAGTCACCAAGGTACCCTGCTTGCAAAGGGATGCCTAGGGATGTGTTTTCCCAGGTTCATCCACCTAGTCACTTGGCCACTGTAGCCATGATCTGTGGAGGCCCAACTACGTTGGCAGCAGACCTTGGCATCATCCCTGTAGTGCTGTTTTACAGGCAGACAGAATCTAAGAGTTCTACATTCATAGAAGTTTCCACCTGTATTTCAAAAAGAGGTCTGGGAGGCCAGGCAGTATGCAGCAAGGTTGCAGTCACTGGAGACAGCCCCTGAGAGGGTGCTGGGTAAAGCTCTGAGGGTGAAGCCCACATCACAGTGAGACCCTGGGATACTGGCAATGCCAGGAACACAGAACTTCTGCTAGTAAAAGGCACAGGCAGTGGGTGGAGCCAACCCAAGAGAGAGAGGATGGATGTGGGGCTGCCCAAACCTATTTAAAGTCCACATCATGACACCACGTGACCCCTAGATACTAGACACGGAACCACAGGATTTAATGGTAATTCTGCTGGGTTTTGGCCTTTGGTCTGTCTTTTCTTTGCTACATTCCTAGTCTTCTCTTTTGGAATACAAATGTTTGTATCATTCTATGTTGGTAGTATGGGGTTCACAGCTAAAAGTTTGCCTTGAGTCTAGAAGAGACTTTGAATTTGGGTTTTTGAACATTGTTAGAATTGTTAGGATCAAGGGCCTATGAACATGAACTAAATGCATTTTGCTGTGTGAAATGGCGGTAAGCCTTTGGAGGCTAAGGGCAGATTTTTTTTTTCAATGATTTATTTATTATTCCAAAGAAAGGCAACTTTTAACATATTTTTCCAGAAATAACTTGAAGCAGGTCACATAAAAATACATATACAGTGTGTAATTCACTATGGCCTTGAAGTACTGCTGATCCTACTGCCTCCACTTCCCAAGTGCTATAATTACTGGCCTTTGCTACCACTTTCAGCTTGTAATCTATTCTTAACTGAAAAAGTAGGTGACAGATAAGCTTTAGTGAAATTGCATACATGCAAAGGACAGGGAACCTTTCTATTCACAGAACCAGAATTTATAGTCTGCACAAGCCCAGTACGTCTTGCTCCTGGTAGTGTTAGGCTCCCTCTTCCCTCAGTTGCTGTCCCTGGCTCAGCCTTCCTTGCACATGGCTACTGCTATCTACAGGAGCCCCAGGCTCTGAGGTGAACTCAGCAAATGAAGCCCCTGATGAGACCAGAGCACCCAAAGGCAGCACTGGCCATGGTGGGCAACTAAGCACATTGTGATCACTGGGGCTATGGCACCAGGAGGAAACTCCAGTGATGTTCTTGGAATTTATATGGACACCCAGCTGCCCCAAGTTCTCCATTCAGGATCTCACTTAACAGAAGAGTATGGCCAGTGATGAGCTTGGGTGGTTTATACTGGCTCCTCATACAGCCTGCTCTCATGGATCACTTGGGCCTCAGAAGCTCTGTTTCCCCATCTGCAACGTGTGGTGGCTAATTGTGATTGTCAGGTTAATTGAAGAAACGTTTAGGGCATTTGTGAGGCACACTTCTAGGCCTGTCTGCAAGGGTGTTTCCACTGTGGAGAGAAGACCTACCTTGAATGTGAGCAGCACCATCTTATGACTGGGGTCCAAAACTAAATAAAAAGGCAAATAGGATCAAGCCAGCTAAGTACTGGGTTTCCCCTTTCTCTGCTTCCTGAAATGTGAGAAGTCCTAGCCACAAGCCTCTACTGCTATGAACTATGTGATGCCTTCCTCACAGTGGAGAGCTGTACCCTCCCAAACCTGAGCCAAATAAACTCCTTCCATGATTTATAGTTAGGTGTTTGGTCACAACACAGTAAGGATTACATGAGGCATTTTCTAGCCTTAGTAAACATTGAAAAGTTACCTCTAATAATCTTTTTGTTGTTTTGGAGGTGGTGTGTATGTATATGCGGGTATGTGCAGAGGCTCATATGCATGTTCATGTGTGTAGGGTGGCTGGAGGACAACCTTAGGTGTCATCTTCAGGAGTGCTATCCAACACACCTGGCATTTTTACATGGGTGCTGGATGATTAAACCTGGGTCCTTGTGTCTGTAAGGCAAGCACTTTATCAACTGAGCCATCTACTCAGCCCCTTTTTTGTCAATGGCAGAGTCTCATGCAGCCCAGATTGACCTCAAAATCACTGTGTGGCCCAGCATGACCTTGAACTTTCTGATCTTCATGTCTCCACTATCCAAGTGCTAGGTTGGAGGTTTTCGTCCCCAGACTTAATCTTTTAAACTCAGATTTCGCACTAGGGTGGAAATTACCTGAGTCAGGTTATTTTAGCAGGGTTGGCCTTTCCCAGGAAACTCACATACAGGGCATGTGGGGCTGGAGGAGTGTGTGTCAGCCCCTTAACTTTTTTTTTTTATTTTACTTATTGATATTATTTATTCTCTCTCACATCCACTATAAAGCTCTGTAACGTTTTGGAAGGAAGGGTGTTCCCCCTTTGTTCTCTGCTAAATCCCTAATGACTTGAAGACCTTTGGGAAATAGATGCTTAACATTTTTTTTTTTTTTAACCTATTCAATAACATTTTTCTGAGCTAGGGTACATCTCTTTTTTGCTGTCTGTTTACAGGTTGCCCGGCTCATGGAGATGGGATTTTCCAGAGGAGATGCCTTGGAAGCCCTAAGGGCTTCAAACAATGACCTCAACATGGCCACCAACTTCCTGCTGCAGCACTGACGTTTAGCCCGGCTGCTGCATGACAGTGGAGTGTCCCCGTCACATCAACCTGAGGACCAAGCAGACTCCGGCACAGATATACAGATGTCCTGCCACGCACTGTCCTTAACGCCAAGATGGTTACCACTGTGGTATCAAAATAAGTTTGCCATTAAATTAACATGTCTTTTCTATCTTTATTTTTTTATTGGGCATTTCTCTGAGTCTGGCGAATCATCATTCCTAACATGTTGAAATACACTACAGTTGCAGGTTTCTGTGCCAGTTTCATAGCGCTCTAGGCAGGACTGACTGCTCTCCTGAAGCTCCTGTTTCTGCAGTGTGATCTGGTCCTCCTCATTATCAAGAAAGGGGACAGGTGACTTGACCTCAGAAGAAGACACATCATATCACTGTTTGTGGACTGTTTTTCATTATTTTTTTCCCTCCAGTTTGTGTTCAGGTCCCAGTGTCTGTTCTGCCCACACTTCCTAGAAGATGGACTGACACAGTGTCAGCCAGGCCTCAGTGAGGAGGAGAATCAGGATCCTGGCCTTGCTGAGGTCAGGGAATCTGTCTCAACTCCTCCTCCCCCCACATCCAGTAAAAATAACAATCCAGTGCTGACCTGAGGTTCTGGAATGCTCCATGATACTTAACTAGGATTTATTTTGCTCAGAATAGCCAGAGGTGAACGAGTGAAATGGAACAAAGGGGAAAGTTCCGTCCTGGATTCTGGTGAGGCCTGACCAGAAGGCACAGCACTGGCCCGAAGGGTGCAGCTCCTCAAGAGAAGAGCCAGTGCTTTGCCTAACCTGGTCTTCCCCTCTGAGGGTAACCTGCCAGTCCTCGGTACTCAGCACCAACTCCTCTGGCAGCAGGTTCTCCTGGCCCTGTCCTTGCAAACCTCTAGTGGGTAGAGGCAGGAGGCAGTCTGATGTAAGCTAGTACAACTGGAGAACGAGTTGACAATTGCCATGTAAGCAAATGGCAACAGGTAATGTTCCTTGAAACAAGCAGCAGTGTATCAAATTGATGCAAATTTAGGTGTGTGATACTTAAAATAAAGTTTTTAATGTGTTTTACGTTTTAGCATTTTATTACACCTCTCTAAATGAAACTTCTTTCTAGGCAGGGCTACCAAAAAAGAAAAATAAAACCAGACTGCTCATCTTTCTTCAGAAGGCTTGGGGCCCTCTGAAGTGAGTATAGTCCTTCTGTTCCCACTGTGCAGAGCTGCCACAGGTAATGCTGACCAGTGGTATCATTTCACCAAAGCCTAGAACTTTGAGCCTGTGCAGCCCTGGTGAGACACATGCTTCAACTGCCAAAGCCATCAGCTGCTCAGAATGGGTTGAGGTGGCTTTTGCATGCCCAGCTGTTGTCAACCATGGGACCTATTTGGATCTGAGCATCTTGGTTTGTGAGGAACCATTGACCACCTTCAAGTGTGACATTGACATTACTAGTGAAGGTAGGATTGTGTAATGAGATACCCTGAAACCTGCCCTCTGTAAATTCCCCAGACACAGCAGCTTGTCCAAACAATCACCAGCTCCTGGGTTCCTCACCTTCACAATGCAGTAAGCAAAGGAAAACCAAGTCACAGCAACAGTCTCATGCTCCCAGAGAAGGATACAGACAACCCCACTGCAAATTAAGAGAGCCAAATTCAAGAGGTTTGAAGACTCAGTGCTAAGTGGAATTATACTTCAGAAAACCCATCCTGCCCAAAGGACTCTTGGGACACTTCCCTTTAGTCTTTCAAAGAGTAGAGAGTCAAATGGCATCACCTGGGGGTCATCCTTGGTGTTTTTTCCCAGTTCTTTCCACCTTACGCCTGTTCTAATGGTGGCTTGTGACTTTCCACCCTACCTGGCAGCTCCCAAACAATTATCTCTGAGCATGACCACCTTCCAGATCCTCTCACACTCAACCTGCCTTTTTATTCTTGGCCACACTGTTCTCCTTACTAGGCTGTCGCTGTTGGCTACTCCTGCTTCAGGCACGTACTGACACAAAGTGCAGCTGCCCTTAGCCAGTCACCTCCCTACCCCCCTAACCCACCCCCACCCCCACAGAACTTTGAGTTAAGACCTTAACACCTCTTGTTAAGATAACTTTCAGGCCCACAGCACCCCCAAAGGAAGAGCTCATATGGTGATGCCTGCCAGAGGGGGGCATTAGTGAGCCATTTGATTGGGTCTAGAAAAGACTTAAGGCTTTTGGCTTTATGGAGATGGTTAACAGACTGGGCTTAATTTTCAAAAGCTGGGCTTGGTGGCACACGCCTTTAATCTCAGCACTTGGGAGGCAGGGGCAAGTGGGTCTCTGTGAGTTCAAGGGCCAGCCTGGTCTACATAGTGAGCTCCAGGCCAGCTGAGGCTAGAGGGAGACCCTGTCTCCAAAAGACCAATAATAATAATAATAATTTTCAGGCAAGCAGATTTCAGGCTGGAATGGGAAAAGGAGAGGGGAAAGTTATCTGTAGTGAATAAATGTGCCCTTCTGTGGCCATACTGGTTACTTATTGCTATATCAGAATGCCTGACAAAAGCAGCTTTAGAGTTTATTTTGCCTGTTTGAGGATGCAGTCCACCATGGCGTGGAAGGAATGGCTTCAGGAATGTGAGGCACTGGTGACGTTATCCACCATCAGGCAGCAGAGAGAAATGAGTGCTCGTGCTCAGCTCCCTTTCTCCTTTCTAAGTCTACTCTAGTTGACAGTACAGTTTAACTATCACAGTGGCTAAGGAAATCTTGCCTCTGAGTCCCAGTTTACCTAGACTGTGGGATTCAAAATCAGCCATTTTAATAAGGCAAATTGAGCACAAAATTGTCAACGTATCACAGTGTCGTGTAGAGTGTTTTCTGGGTCACTGAGTTTATGTCCCTACAGTTATTCTTAAATGGAAGTGTCTAAAACTGTAAACTTGAGACATTTTGCCAGCTGGGTTGAGTGGTCTGTCATTTGTGAGATTGTTTTCATTTCAATTCTATAAGGGGAGGGAACCAGAATGTCAGGATAAGATTTGGCTCAGTAAAATTTTAGTTCTGAAGCTGAAATCTTACTACATGTGACAGAAATAGCCAGACTCACATGAATTTATCAACTTAATATAGCCATGGCTAAAGAAAGACCAATACCAAGAGCTAAATTTTGGTGGTGCCCCTCCTCCCCTTAGAGATGGAGCTGTAGACAAAAGTCCAGGATGGTGGTTGGTCTGAGCTACAGAGCTGGGAAATATCAGTCTGGAAAGAGGTGAGGCGGGAGAGCTGGGCTGAGGGATGAGGGACTTCGATAGGGACTGGGAATGTGGAGATGAAAAGATTAATTGGTATTGGACCCTCAGGGGAAGTAGGAGAATCAGCAGAGGGAAGCCTGAGTACAGGAGGTAGGGAGACCCAGGAGAGCCTCAGAAAAGAATGTGGCAAGGTGGGGCAGCAGCAGGGAACAAGAAAAGAGCCATCTGCAGACCTGGAGATCTCAGCCCAGACAACAGGAATTGTTTTGGGTCCACCTGGGACGGCAGGAGAGAGGCCTCAGCTAGGAGAGGAAGTCAAACCTGTAAATCCCAGCACTTAGGAGCCTGAGGCAAAAGAACTACCATAAATTTGAGGCCAGCCTGGGCTACAGAATGAGTTCTAGACAAGCCTGGGCTACAAAATGGAGACTTAAAAAATTAATAAAATAAAAACTGGGTCTGGTGGTGCATGCCTTTAATCAGCATGTGGTTGAGAGACAGAGGCAGGGGGATCTGTGAGTTAAGGTCTGTCTCAAAAAACAAAAGAAAGGGTTACAGTTCTTGCCTTCCAGTGTCCTATGTAGCAGAGAAGAGGTGGCAGGATGGAACTTAAGGAGAATGGATAACAGGTCTTCAAAACTGAGGAAGGCCCAAGGAATCCATGCTGGCCAGGAGCAGGGGACCACCTCAGCACTATCCTAGTCTGCCAACCCTAAAGAGTCAAAAACCTAGTTCCTTAGCAGGAATTCGGACAGTCCCAAGAAACTTGCAAGGTCCTACTGACCCACAGCTTCCCAGGGAAACTCATTCTGTGACCTTCCAGAATGTTCTTAGCTGCCCTAGGAGTTTGAGAAGACTGAAACTAAGAGGAAGAAGTACCCAGATCCTTAAAAGTGTTGGCGAGAGCTCTTCCATAGAAACCCTCTCAGTTGAAAGCCAGTGTTCCTAGTTCCCTGGAGACATACCCTAGTCCTCAAACACAGAATCATTCACCCTAGGAGTCTGAGAGGCTGTCCCCAAGGGGCCAGACTGAGCCACTCCAGGGCCCTCACTTCCACCACAGCAAAAATGGAAAAACAGCAGTAGACTGTGCCCATATCAGTAGAAGCAGAGAAGGCCTCCGAGGCCCCTAGCACAGGTGACCTACAGCTCTGACATCTACCTCACCTAGGCTGTTTAATGCCCCACTGCTGAGCCTCCTATGAGCCACAATGAGACCTCTCTCTCACCAAACATGACATCTGTTCTTTTTGGGTTTTATGTGTATGAGTGCTTGCCTCCATGTATGTACATGTACCACATGCATGGAATGCCTGCAGAAACCAAAAGGGCATCAGATCCCCCTGGAACTGAAGTTACAGAGAGTTCTTAGCTACCGTGTGGGTACTAGGAACCAAACCCTGGTGCTTTTAACTGCTGAGCCATCTCTCCAGCCCCATGACATCTATTCTTAACTGTAGGTGATACATAGGGTGTCAAAACTGGAGAACCTGCTAACATATGCCACACTTTCTGAGTGAGGACACAGTTGAAAAGGGAATCAGGAGGGCCTGGTGGGCTTGAGGCTGAAGACAACTTCCCTGAAGCCAGATGGGTCCAGAGCCCCTCCACAGCTGCTCCTGGCCTTGCCATAGGCTGCTGCACACCTGGGGCTTTGGGGAATGGAAAGTCCCCCTGAGGAGCCTCAGACTCCCCTGGGACTGTCCTTTCAACTACCTACACCAGCCCCAGGAGCACTGGCAGGCCCTCTACATGGCTGGCTCTCCCTGTTTTCTGAGGGACACCACAGGGAAACAAGGCCAAGTGCCTCCCATGAGGTCACAGTCTTCTTCCAAACCCACTAACTCTGCCTCAAGCCATGTACAACAAGCTATCCCAACCAACCACTTCCGTCAATACCCACAAGACAAGGCATATTGGAAAACTAAGTGACAGTGTTCTAACACTGAGGTTGGTGTCTCTGACTTCCTAAACTTGGTTGCAGGCTATACAAAATCTAGAGATTAAATTAACTCTAAGCACACATTTGGCCCTATTGTGAAAATCCCTTC